ACCTACTTGTTTAGTGATTGAAATCCATCCCGTGGTGGTATGAACTATGAAAGTTATTCGCCTAACAACTATTAAACGCTAAAACAGTAAAATACGTTGTACTATGGAAGCCTGACTAGGGTCTTTTAGACCTTGAAAATACCACGATGTTCCTATGTAAGCTAGAACGCTCACTTTACGTACAACCATGCATTTAATGGGATGTCAGCGAATGTGTGAGTTAACCTCTGCTCAACAATAACGAATGATATTATATTCTTAAAAAAACACTACTCATCAGGTAACTGAAAACTTCAACAGCCCACGGCTGGTTTCGCTTTTCTGAAGTCAACCGGAATTGTGTGCAAATGAGTGTTCTTCGCGAATTTCTTACAATTTTGTTACGAGTAAGATATAAGATTGGGAGAAGCTCGAGGACTACCCTATCTGATGAACCTCAAGATGGTTGAAATTGTTGATGGGCTGCCGAAGAGCCTTTAGCAATTTTATGAGCGGTGTTCCTTCGAGAAAATATACAGTGATATCTGGGATATTGGAAATGTAAGGCTCCTTTGTGCAGCACATTCAGTTGAAGAATGTCACAAACGTGTGATTCAATCAGGATTCCGTAGAGTCCCTCGTAAAGACCAAATCAGTGAGTGAAACGGCATTATTGTTTAAGAAACGTGCGGTCTGTACGAGAAATTTAATAAAATGAAGTAGTCCCTTTGAGTATGTTGTGACAAAACGATACATGCTTGTATCCCGTCAATACCGAATGCTTGATTGGGTCCAGCGTGAATTTCTGTGAGGTTACAAAAGAAAGTCACATGAATATCCTCCTAAATACGCACTTATTTCCACCTGATCCTCTGAGTAACAGGATCCGCATAGAGGCATGTTGTTTAATGTAACAGTTCTATATTGAGTATTTCTTTGTCCCTGAACCTAGCAAGTCATTTCATCCAAATTTCGCTGAGAATGACAGACGATTCAACACAGTTTATTCGAATCAAAATATTATTTCCACTGCATAGTTCATCAGCCAAATTTCGCACGAAGTCCGCCGCTCTTGTAGTCTCTTTTTCTAGATCCGTCGTGTTTTTGACTCACCAGAATTCTCAACGTTTTACCTTGAGCAGATTGTCCGTTGTGTACTTCCGTCCGTCACCTAGAACATGCTGACAATCTTCGTATCCATGGGGCTCGAAGTAGTTCAGTGGTTAAGGCGCCAGCTTAGGGACCGGAGGGTCCGTGGTTCGAACCCAACCTCAGCATCTCGACTGCTCCTGTCTAGGCCTCGGTAATCCGGCAGTAACTCAGATCTCGTGCCTCCCTCTTTTGACATGGCACCGACGACGATTGAACATATGCATGATGTTTTTATCGTCGCGATTCGCTTTCGTTTATCCGGGTTAGTATCCCTACGCTCTGAGAGTCGAACATTCTTTCTTCAGGCCTGCGTATGGTTTACATATCCTCGCTTACAGTTATCACTCCTATGATTTATCATTAGACTAATATGTGAGAGAAAAATTGTGTACTACTGATAGCTAATTGGGTGCGGTATATTTTGTTCACTGTGATCATCTGGAAATGCCACAACGTAGGTGAGTTGCAAATGCGCTTGCTGGTCTCTACGGTGAAGACCCTCATTAGGTATTCATATGAACTATGTACTCATGAAATCTGTGCTATGTGATTACCAAGCTACTGGTCGTTTTCTTGATTTACCACGGCTCAATTTGCAAATGACTGTATGTCACCTTCTGTCATCCTTCTGTTTGCATTAGGCGCGCTTTAGTCCATATTCCAAACAATGATGCCTTCACAAATGTCCCACCCGTCGTTTTCGGATATACTGATCTCAGCTCCCTCGTGAGGGAATCCTAACTGAATCACTCGTTTCTGACATTCTTCAACTGAATGTGCTGCACAAGGAGGCCTCATATCTCCAGATATCACGGTATATTTTCTCGAAGGAACACCACTCATAAAATTACTAAAGGCTCTTCGACAGCCCACCAACAGTTTCAACCATCTTGGGGTTCATCAGATAGGCGCAGTCCCCTAAGAAGATAAATTTATTCCGCCCGCCATTTGGGCATGCTGATGTCTTTGAAACTGCTCCCTCCTGTTCTCCCTCCGGTATACACTGGATGCAAGTCGTTCAGGTGGATGCACATACCGTTTAGCACAAACCATATTTGTGTGTAGGTGCACATCAACTCAGTTCGATTTTTCAGGCCATTCCAGAAACTTGTGCCAGCCCGCCGTGCTACCTAATCGTAAAATGATATGCACACTTTGATTCACTGTGTGCGACCACCTGGACTGCACCGATAACCCTAGATTGAGGCATAATCTCTTCGATAAAGTTTGATTTCTGTCTGTCCTGAGCAACTGCGCCGTTGCATCACCTTATCAGGTGGAATCCCCGTTTAAGACATGAAACTCGTTTATTCTCATGGTCAAAACACGGCAAAATCGTCAATTTACTGACCACTTACTACAGTTTCAACCTACAGAGGAAAATATCGGTAGCGTAGATGGTCGTTGGTTTGTTCGCTGAGCTGGTCAATTTGATTGCAAACGTTTCATCACCAATCGTGCTGGTTGGTACAACCACCAACCCATCGCTACGCACCACTACGCTCCCCAATAGCGCACTGATGATGTCAACTCGACTAGTGATGAAAGCTTTGCAGTTTCAATCTATTTGAATTGTCCCTTGTGTAATCATTCATCACATACAACTACGAAGGTCAAAGCCCTTACTGTTGGGTTTCATCCGACTGTAGAGGGTAGGATAGCTGATCGCATAATGCCAAGGAACTTATATTTTTGGACTGGGTTCTTATACTACTAGGCTTTCGAGCGTCATCAGGCCATCCGTACAAAATGGCTTAGAGCACTTTTTTTCTTCTGCGCCCAACATATTGCTTCTAGCAACAGTACTATGTTGGAAATGTACCGGAATATTTGCAGCCAGGGTGCATTCGTTGGTGTTTGGTCAAGTGACCGTTGTCTGTTTGCCGAGCTGGGCCATTAGCTTCCAAACTTCTCACCACCAATCGAGGTGACATCATCAGTGCGGCGTGTGCACCCAACTGTGCAATGATGATGTCATTCCGACTGATGACTCTATAAGGTGCGAATAATGGGATTCATGTTGGAAAAAAGCACCCCATCCACATATCGACCTTAGGTAGAATGCTTTTCCGCTTTTCTCGATTTTGAATCCAGAATAACTGGACTAGGCGCTGTTCACCTGCTTACGCAGTTTTTGCCTGTATACATGTTCGCTGTTCATAGTATCTGCCATCTGTTTTGTCACATCCTGAACCATCTATTTCCACTTAGAATTGGCTGATATCTTACACTTTTGTAAGCGATAGATAGGGCCCATCCGATAACGTTATTGCGCAGATACAAAACTCCGTAAACCTCGCTGCACACATCCAGATAGCCACACTGAGTAACAAGCTACCATTGCTACCTAGCATTTTCTATTCCGCAGTCTCCAGACCTGGCGTCCGCCTATACGGATGGCAAAAGAAGATCCATTCATGTGAATATCCCTTGATTGTGAAATAAAACAAAAAGTGTAAGAGTAACTAGGTCGACCCTACCAGGGTCATACGTTTCTCATATACTTAGATCGCTAAGGTCAATGTTAAGATCAGAGAGTTAGCTGACAAAAGGTCAACTGTACTAAGGGAAACAAAGGATATTGTTTGTCCGTCATTAGACCCTCAGGTTCAGATCAATAATGGGACGGCATCATGTTGTCACTGGTTGAGGCTGTCTTGTAGTGGTATCCATCAGTGGCTGTGCCTGTGGAGGAATGGGTACCAAACTAGGAATGTAAACAAAGTAAGGACGGCAAATTTAGATCCACGGAGGATGGAACGTTGTACTAACTTTGCACGATTGGTAGGTGCTTGGTAAACCACATATAGGTTTTGACTAAGACCGACATAGTGTGTCTAGTTCTTCAGGTGTTTCACAAGGGATTCTGCTATTCAGTTAATTGTTTGGAATCAATAGAAGATTCATCGTTTCGGAAAAGTTGAGAGAACCGTCAACCCGGTAGTAAATAAATAAAAGGAGCTTGTTATTCTTCTTGCGGTTTCGGTAACCTTCGTTCCTGGTTATATGTTCTGCTGCAACCCAACCTTATGTTCAAAGTATTCTATTGGTAAATAACCATTTATCAACTGTGTTGCTGTGAGGAGCAGCAAATTTTTTAGTGGGACGTCTTTGTATCATGCAAATCGTTCACCAATCAGTCCAGGTCACTACAGCGTCTTAAAATGGCGTTGACGAAAATAGTTGCCGTTCGATACCATAGCTGGTTAACCTGCTGTGATTAACCTCGTTCGCTACATTGGTTTTCCCACAAACGATAGGTCTGAGGCAACCGCTCTGTCACTGGCAAATCAATCCATCAATGACTTTAATCCATTGTCCAAATGATGGCATACCACGAACGCCTATCAAGAGTTTTAAGTCCTGGTCAGTAGTTTTGTCATCAATCGAAAATGTAGCCACATCTTTCTCTTATGTTAAAATCATCTTGGCAGACTGATATTAGACAACCATGCTTTTTTAAAAAAGAAGAACATGACCAAATATGGATTTTTGAGGTGACAGGTACGCAGCCTCACACCTCAACTCTCTAGGAGATAAGAGGACTTGCAAAGAAAGGTTTCTGAAGTCGGAACTTGAGGAATCTATGTACTTGGGAATTAAACACGCCGTCATCCAACCAAAACTTGCAGTGCTAAGCAGTAAACCATGCGTGTCTTACGCATATAAGCCACGTCGCGTCCACACTGAAATCCATTGACTATGTGCTACCGGTACAGTCGTGTAACCTGAATTCATCGGTCTCTGCGGGGCTGGAATTGCATGTGAATGTTACAAACAATCGGATTGAAACAATCTCGCTCTTTTGAGTGTTCAGCGGCTTCAGCGGAACTATTGATGCTCCTATTCTATCCTGTTTTCTTTGGTAGCATAACGAACCAACGGCAAACCCATCGCCGTATGCTGAATCAGACGATGACTGTAAGTCGGATTATTTGTTTCTGTCCCTCCCACTGTTCGATTCCTCGTCTAATAATTCATGCGTTCTTTATTGTGCGGTGGGCTCGTTAGCAGTCAGCACATGGTTCTCTCTTACCTATTCATTCAGCTTAGCTGCATACCAGTCGGATGCTTTCCACCGTCTTATTGATTACTCGCCTATACACAACGAGAATTCGTGTGTTTTCTAGAGAGGAAATTCTATTAGTGACATCCAGGTAATGGGTATTTATCACTGCTTACTGTGTCAGTAGGTTTTCGTTCAAATTCGAGTTACTGCACACATGCTGTGTCCACAGCTGTTGTGTCGGTTTCGAACCCGCTTAAGACCAGATCATTTGGTTTTCATGGCGCCTTTGTTTGTTCCGGTTGTCTTACTCGCCTCTCTCTTTCTATGATGGCCACCCATATTGTCCTCTCGCTAACGTTCTATACTGGGGTATGTATGGACTTTTGGACCCGCATGCAATAGTAGGAACGCTTAACAGTAGGCTTTCCAAGAGAACACAGGACAGGATGGTGTCGCGCACTAGGTAATGACTGACAAAAACGGCTGTCTTCCAAAGGGTCCCTTTCCCTCGTTCTGCCTCTGTCTTTTGTAGTATAGTGTCGAGGCGTTTGCATTGGTGACGGTCACGCAGCCTGACGCTCCGTAATGGGAGAAATGGTTTGATTTTACGAGGTGTGAAATCAAACTTATTCCCGCTGCGTCGGAGATGACAATGTTGCTTACCATAATCTCCTGTTTCTTATATCTGGGCGCGCCCTGACACCCATATAAGAAACAGGAGATTATGGTAAGCAACATTGTCATCTCCGACGCAGCGGGAATAAGTTTGATTTCACACCTCGTAAAATCAAACCATTTCTCCCATTACGGAGCAACACACGACCAGCATAGTGGGCCTGAGATTGTTCACAACTGGAACACCACCATTGGCTGTACGGAGCGAACAAGTGAACGACCATATTTGGCCAATTAGTCATCCTATATATTTACGCAGACGCTCTGTATGTTTTGTCCTGGCAATACAGCCGTGTCCCCAGTTCTCTGTCTTCTCCCTATCGCGTAGTCTGGCAGGCGCAGTGCCGGCGTAACCCCATAGCTCGGCCACCGCACAATACAACAATGGGGTAGTCCATCTGAGAACAAATATATCCGGAATCAACTTCTCTGAGAATACTTTGATCAGCGACAGTGAGTTTCGTTGCGACGTGAACGACGCGCCTGTTACGACGACCGTTCCTGGTATCAGTTCGACCCATCACTGTACGGAACTTGCACAGTCAATACTTGCTTGGAAGTGCACAGTTGTCTCTTTAAATGCTAGAGACTAGGGTTAGTTCTGGCGTTTATGATACCGCTCAACTGTCTGTGCTGATTGAGCATGCGTGACTGTTAGGCTTCGGCTCTATGCTAGTCCCACAACATCAATATTTATATTAGTATTAGGAATGGTAGCTTTTCCATTTGGTTGACCCAGTATCAGCCGAGGTCAGCCATGCGGCAGCGCGAGATCTGTCCTTGTGGATGCTTCTTTTAGGTCCCCGGGCGGTAGGGCATAGTGGTGTGTCCTTACCAAATCATCATCATCGACAGCATGACATCAGTGCTCAACACCGATTCTTCGCTGCCAAATGGTAACTGTTGTGAGAAGGGGACCTAGTTTGAGTCGCTCTGTTTCATTCTGAGCTCTAAGCTTATCTCAGAATTGGAATCCCCGATGGATGGGTGCATTTCAGACTAACCCAGCTGATAACGTTAGGTAGATATTTGTAGTGAAACATGTACAAACCGGCAATCCGACCAGGGGTTTAGACCGATGAACCACTAAAATTGTGTTAAGTATGGTGAGTGAAAGCATGTTAGAACATGGTAAAACCCTTTGACCTATGATTCGTGCATGTGGATGGTAGGTGTAGAAAAACAGGTTCAATTTGACACGCAGTCATATGGGACATACATTTTTTCGTGCTCCGGGAACCACATCAAGAGTTGATGTAACTCCAAGTCCTTGAATTCGCAACGTAAAGTAGAGCAGTGTGAATGAGTGCACCCAAGGATATAGCACGTGGGTGATAAAAAGTCTCAGAACCTCGGCGTTCGCAAGGCTGAGTAACACAAAGGATTAGGCTTTGTCTGCATTATTTAGCTCCAAGGCCAAAATCAACCTGTGACTGCGGTTGAACTGTTTGGATTTGTTCCTTATCTTATCCTCGATCTTGTTGTTTCACTCCTAACACAATCTTCGTTTGCCGCCAAGCCGCATAAACAAGACAGAAAATTCATTTCAGTTCTTTCTTCCATTGGCTGCTATTCTCTATCATCTACTTTGAATCTCTCCTCTCGGTACATCTGGATGCAATTGCTGAACTTGAGGAAAGTTTCGAATGGTTTTTCATGGTAATATATAGCTGATGTGGTCCCCTGGTATGTCTACCAGTTTCATTGCAGCTCGTGATTACAGCAATGGTCGGGTTCGAACCTGAGTCAACTGTCTTGTGATGCAAGTGATTTTGATTTTAACTTCCCCATGTAGCCATGTTTACAGAGTATTCGCTGGGACTAGGGACGTCAAACAGTCCTATCACATTGCTGAATCGGCTTCTAAATGTTTGGCTACTCTCGTGTTTTGGATAGCTCCACCTAGATGGGTTGTCATTGTACCATCCTTCCGGTCAGTTACTTCTAGAGAAGGATAACTGTATCCCGGTTCACTTGATCACACTATACCTGAGTGGTGCCCTAGCTACCGGGCGCTTGGATCCGGGATTCGACAGTAAGTGTCGTAGTTTCGATCGATAAACGATCGTTGGTTAGCCCCACTCCGCGCGAAAATCGGTTTAAGTGTTCTCCTACCCGAATAAATCATCTCAAATTTGAGCCCCTTGTCGGACGACTGTTGCTTGGACTGAGTAATGTCAAGAAAGAACATGTGGACTTGTGGCACTCCATATATTTGGGTTGTATTTTTACGAAACCATCACTGTACAAGTAGATAAGAGTTTAGTACCTCTCCTGTTACTTGTGCTGTCCTACTTTTTGCATCTTACTTATGGTCGACATTGATTAAATCGATCGATGTCCATTATTCAACCACCATGTATACAAAATTGGTATTCCACCGCGTTTTCATCTGACTTCACATCATTGCTACTTTGTTAATAAGTCTGAAGTCGTTTCGTGCCTTGTTTTGTAGTGCAAATAATCTCTATTTCGTTCAGTGGACTGCTATTTCAAAGGTGCAAACTACTTTCAATATTGCCACTCCCGTTCATTTCCTCTAAACAGCTGATGATGGTTTGGAAGTTGACGACCCCATTTTTTCAAATGACCCGGTCATGACGGTTGATATTAAAGTAAGTATTTAACATCCACAATAGTATGCTTTTCATACTGTTCGAATCCCATTTGATCAGTATCTTCGACAGAGTTTGCTTTTGGTAACCGCGAATTCGTGACAGCCTCAATTTTCTGTGATCGGGAGCCTTCCCATGAGTATCCATACCATGAGTTTCTTATAAGTCTTTAGTGACTAACGGCTTTTGTTGGAGGACCATATGTAGACTTTCCACTGTCAGCTGCAATCAGAAAGTCGGTCGACGAAATGCAGCTAGCCATGGAATAGAGCTATCGCCTAGCTATTGAATGCTAAAGTTAAAACTTGGGTACCTTGGCTAATCTCACCTCTCAGGCTAACCAATCGGACTTCGTCGCTAGCAGTGCTTAGATATAGGCTGGAATGTTAGGTAACGGCCCAAGTCGGTGGCTTCAACCAACTGCGCGAACGGGGCCGTCAACGCGACGCGCTGCTCCTTCTCACGTAGTTGATTCCGTGACAGTCTGAGAGGGGATTAAATAGATTCCTCCTCCTCGCTAAAAACTGAACGCCACTTCAAGATCATCACCAAATTTTCCACTTGGTCACACTGTCGAATATGGAAGTATGGTGCAAACCCTAGTGATCCGTGCATTCTCTTGCCTTTACCAACCCAGTTTGCTGAGCGGAATGTTATTCTGCAAAGCATCTGTGTTCGCCTGGTTGTCTTTCAACTGGATCACAATGGATACGCTTGAAATGCCAATCCACCAATCGTCAGGCACCTGTTGACCCTGTGTTCACTGGTCCGGCCCTGTACGTTAATCCATTTGGTGGTTGACTCAGGCCTAGGTCATTCGAGGCGACTAGCCTGCACTTGTGAACAGTAATACATTACTTCCTTCGTAGGAAACACAATTCGAGAGCGGTAAACCTGCTTCTTAGTTCCCGCTATTCCTTAAATGGAGGTTCAGGCAAAACCGAAGCTGAATCAAAACGGGCTTGTGGTTACATCATTTTTCTACCACATCTAATCTAAACACTTTTTTGGAGAAATGTGCATACATAAAATAAATATCTTCCCGGTGTCCGGCAGAGGAAGGATTTTCTTAGTTGTGCCTGAAATTACTAATGGAAACTTGCTTAAGTATAGCTGAACATCTGTCGTTGGTCCCGGATATACTCTGTCCTTTTCGGGATACTTCGAAGCATTCATTTAGACTTTAGATTACCTGCAATACCTTATGTGCGGTATGAAAGGTCCGCAGCTGTTCACTTTTAACGAAAATGGCCACTAATGTAAGAGACCTGATGTTGGTCCGTTGTATCCTTAGTTTTAGCGGTGCACCCTATAAGGCAACGCCTTGCAGGCACCTCCACCTCCAAAAACTTCCAAATCACTCCTTACTGATCCATCGAGATTCTCACAGTCCCGTTTAGGAGAGTTTTGCTTGCTAGCATTCTGTCAGACAGTTTCGCTTTTGCAGCACATGTCGAACGGTTGTCGTGAACTACCATATCTTGCTTTGTCTTGGACCGGTGAATTTTGGTGCGATTTACGTTAGCCAGTGGCTTCCCCGCTACAGCATTTAGCCTGAAAGAGGGATTCACTTTTTTAAATTGGGAATTCCTATGACTCCTTCGTCATTTGAGATTTTCCTGCGATCAGAGTTCCCTATAAAGATGGGTGATATATTTGGGATTGTTGAATCTGTTTACCCCCTGGGCCCTGCTTAGCCGGTGGTCTCTTAAAGACAGAACGTACTGAGGCAACTTTTTACTCTGCTATTAATAGCTTAGCACGCCAGCACATAAGCTGCTGGAATTCCGTGTCCTTTGATTCTTTCTCTCAGCTACTTTCCTGAAACTCTGAAGTTGTGCGGTCGCTGTATTCTTTGCATTCCACTAGCCTACTACATGGCACAGTCCTGTAAAATCCGATCTGATTCACAAGCAGCCACTACAATGTCCTCTACTCATCGCAGTATCCCCATTCCCTTGTAGTTCTGAAGGCAATGGTTCGGCAAGATTCGCTGGAAATTCCCAAACATATGCATCTGTTGGTTATTTAGGGTTTTGCTTAGAGAACGAAGTTGTGTGGTGGAAGAATTCTGACAAAAAGCATGGCAAATAGACACGCTATGGAAGCACTAGGGGGCCAGTGTTTTTCCAACGGTAGGGGTTCAAAACAATTTCTGTGGATGGGAACCAGAAAGAAAGCACATGAGCCGAAGCCCAGTAAACAGGTTTTACACCAACGGTAGGGGTTCAAAACAATTTCTGTGGATGGGAACCAGAAAGAAAGCACATGAGCCGAAGCCCAGTAAACAAGGTTTTACATCACCAATACTTATATATAAATCAATCAAGCTGGCAAGCACCATATGCTACAAATATGACAGATTATAATCTCTCTTCAAAATAGACCTTCGGAGAGAAGCCACTGTCTTTTGTAGATTCCGTGAACATTCCCCTCTTTGCACAACTCGTGCGACCATTCTCCCCGATGAGGCCGTACAGTGGTCTGTTTTGGAAGTTCACACCGTGAAACTGCACAGGTCCGTGAAACAACAACCGCTCTGAGAATTTAGCAGAATTTAGGGGTTGCTTGCTACTTGGAGTAAAAATTGGAAATTCGAGACAGCCCTGTTACAAAATAAGCTTCCTAAAAAAGCAGTCCAACAAGTTTGAGGATGGTATGAGTAGTGTAAGATTTCGAAGAGCAGAATGTGACTTGAAGCATCGAGAATCTTCGGTATACAGTCACCCACTAGGTTTGTGGATTTCCATCTTATGTTGTAGTAATCCGTGTTAATATGAAAGACCCTACTCAACTGTCATAGGAAACCTTCTTACTGAACGAATCGCAGTTTGTTGTCTCTACATCTAGCGGTTCAAGCCGCGTAGACTCGTTGAACGGTTTTATCCACACGTCAAAGCCGAACGGTAATCGATCGGTTGATCAATACGCATGTTACCGTAATTGGCCTCGTTTTGTTAGATCAGCTGAACAAAAACACGGTTTTGCCCAGCCTGTTATCAGTACGTGTGTGAAAGCCAAAAGCGGAAGCTTTGAGCTTAATTGTGATATTCTAGGCCTGCTAGTAGAACCGCGCTATCCTGAACTAGCACACTGGAAATGGGACTAATGTCCTCGGAAAGATCGACAAGGCATCATTGTTTTTTATGATGTACAAGCACATAGGTCATAAAGGAATATACAGGCGACGAAAGGTCAGTTAGAACACTGAGAATTGTCGTCGGCTTATTCGCTGAGCTGGTCAATTTGATTGCAAACGTTTCATCAACCTACCAACATTTTCCTCTATAGAAAATTGAGAAATGTCCAATAGACAAGGACACTTTGCAAGGTACGTGAGCAGGCTACTAGGCAATAATGTGACTCGGTGTATGGGGCGAAGACCCATTCACAGACGGAGTGAATACTGTGAGTGTGTGTGAATATGCCCTATGCTCAGTGAGGAAACATCATCACGGTGCAATTGAAGATGAGTGGAACATTCACCGTAGTGCGTTGGAATAGGATGCATAAGGGATGCAGATGATCCGTTTCATGAACGCCCGATTGAATGGAACTTTTGAGTCCCGATAAACGCGGATATCCAGACCTCGCTTAGTACGAGAGACAACCTTAACGTTTTCTTATTAACATTCTCTTTGGGGGGGTGGGGTGATGTGCTTCCTATACGTTATATGGTCATCAACCAGGGTTGTCAACATCCCTTGAATTGGGAATTTTTCATCACCAGATTTGGTCTGTTTTGTGAGGGCGTGCAATGAGCAGAGCGTCCACAAGCCAGATCAACGCCAGTGATGTACTGTTGATACCATGTCAGCTATCCGTAAAGTGGTTGCCAGGGCATTCTCAGTGACCCACCCAGCTCCAGCTCCTATCCGTTGCCTACAGACCCCTAAGGAGTGTACAGGTAAGGTGGGGCGGACAATTAACTCATGATGAAGGCCGGGCACTAGGCTTTCGGTTCTTGCACAACAGATTGTGACATCCAATCGATCCATTCAGTGTATCAACCGGGGGAGGACCGTAACTTCTTTATTGTTTATGGTTCCCTAAGTGGTGCGCTCGATTCCGAGTTTACCTTATTGTATCTGTCATTTAATGAGATTGTCGCATATTTGGTGTATCTTACCCAGGTGCCAGCATGCCGGATCGATTTGATGTGTAAAAAGCGACTCTCACTAATTGGGTATGCGCCACCTACCCCGTTAGTTCGGTATCGTTCTACTGTTGTTTCTCATGTTGAACGAGTGAGCAAGCAAAAATGAGGTTTACGACCGTGGTGTGCGATTCGCGCGGCAACTCGCTGCACGGAGTAAAGGTTCCCTAGGTAACACGCCAAAGCATGAAAATGAACAGCCTGTGACTATTCATCTCTTGAACTTCAGCGTTTAACCCTGTGCATCATCACGACAGACCAAAGTTTACTAAGTTTCATGTTTGTCCAATAGAATTGCGATCTCGATGTTATTCAAAAGAAGTCTGCTTATTTCAGCGAGTTAGGCCGTCATTAATTTTTACCTCATGAATCGTACTTGTTGTTTCAGTTTCGATCGTCCCAACATCTACACCATCTCGTAACTTGCCGGAAATCAAGTCACGTAGTTGGTTTCCGACGTAGGATACTGTATCGACCACTAGATTGATCAGCGTTCATCGTACGATGATCTGCTACGTCATGTCGCATGTGAATGCAATGCTCTTTCTTGGGTAAACCAGACCAAGTAAGTCCAAGATAGTCCGAACCACGCATTACGCTGAGCCATCAACCACAGCGTAATATAGCAATGAAGATGTTACCCTTGGAGGCGTCATTAATTGTGACGACCTCTTGATATAACATGAAGGTCGTGTCAGGGATGTGATACCTGAAGGTCGCCTGTAGAGCACCCGAAAAGCTCCTGTGACTTGAAACCGCCAATCGCTCGGCAACTGGACTATTTGTTAACTTTCTTGTCAACTTGTACCTGATTTCGTGTAAGTATCCATTCAGCCTTATTGTTAAAGTTGAGTGGATAAATATATTCACTTGACGCTGTTATCCTGGGTACTCCGGCACGCACAGTCGAATTTCGTTAACCAGCTTATTGAGCAGGCTATGGCTTATCGCGTTCATCACGGACAGGTGGGAAATGTTGTAGCAGTTCTCCTTTTCTGGCATAATTATCCTGGTGTGTCCATGCACTTGATTAAAGCCTATCGGCAATGCATATCTTTGATCGGGCTGAGATTTGAACCCAGGACGCCTGACATTCGAGTTGAGTGTCATCACAGCACACAGTGGACAAAGCTGAATTATCACATCTGAACAGGCGAATCCTCTCCACAGTGGACCCACCAGAATAAGTGCGTCAGAATAAGAGAAGTACTGTCCAAGCGACAGTATCGTGAATACAAATCCAAAGATCCTGCAATCATTTGCCAAAAATAGTGTAACCTCCTGGAAAGTCCTCTCTTGTGGAAGGCCAGTCTTCTTGGGAATTCACATCATTCTAATCCGGTCTCTTTGCCTGATTGTTCATCGTGAGTGATCACTAATTTTTTTGATTTCTTCGCAACATTCCATTGTCTGTTACATAGGGTGAAAATATCCGATAGACAGGGTTTGTTTGAACGTGAATAACTCGCAAGTTTAGAGGGTTGGTATGTATACTATTCAAAAATTAAGTTGCTAATAGTAATTTTTATTCAGCTACTGAATCCACACACTCTGTCACTCTGTGTTCCAGGAGCATCTTTGTGAACTATTTCGGACGCTTTCACAACAGCCCTTCTACAATGAATTCAGTCGTTACCACAGTGGATCTGAACTGGCAGTTTTACAGCAAGTCGGTGTGCTCAGCTTCAGCTAGTCCCCAATTCCAGCGGTCCTTCACCCTCCATTGACCTCTTTCTACAGTTCGCTTTATTTTTGTACACATGACATGCTTTACTCAACCAAGACTTTTCATGATCTTCCCCGTCTTATTGAGATTGCTTAAGTTTGTATTCTCTAAAGTCCGTCCCAGGTAAATGTTCAAATTTCCGGAGTGCTATCTCTCCCTGGTCACCCTGAGTTATTTCAAATCGTACTTTTCGAACTGACTACCATTTGTTCGGCCCCATTCCAGGGGGCGAATTCAAGCGTATAAACACATATTTACAAGTCCTTACAGGACGGCAGCTGCAGTGCATAAAATACATAACGAAGCGGCGAATTAAACAACAGTCCGTCGTACATGACGCAGCTGCTAGTCATCGAATCGAATCCTGAAGCACCTAGCGGCGAATCGGACACCGAATTGTATGGATGGGTCTTCCAATTTAACAAACTCCGGACTGGGAGTGTCAGGAAAGTATGGTCGATCGATGGTCTGACTGCCCGACAGATAGCTTAAGCAAGTGTCCCTCCAAATAAAGGGTCTATCCTTCATTCCACTCTGATCATCGTTCAGTCGCTTGACTACAGTAAAGTAACTGAACCATTTGTGATCAGCCAAACAGAGACATCTCAAACTCAGATGCCCAGACGTTTTTACAGTAAAACACGTATCGCTATAGCTCTGTAATGTCTCTGTTCATCTTCGCGAAAGTTTATCTTGATAGGGCAGCTCGTACAGAATGATGTCTTAGTACGAGGCTTTTTGTGTGTATACAGGAACCGTGTTAGTTGTTTGGGAAGTAACCTAAACACCATTCGTTTTCTAAGACTTCTTAGGGCGTTGTGGACTGATAGTTCTGATTCTAAAGCGCCGTCGCAGATGTGTGACTCAGCATCGAGCGTTCGTCGATCGACAGCTTTTGTACGGTCGGACCTCTAAGTGAGAAACAAGCAGAGTCGAGCATGTAGGATGGACGCAAAGCAAAGTGAGACCATTGAAGTTGACAGTGAGTTCCATCCGTAACTGTATCTGTCAATATGTGGGTTCACGTCCTAACCTACCAGCCTCAACACAGTCCGCTTCCTGATTGATCCACCGCCATTTGTAAATCTTTTAAACTTGATTCACATTTTCGTGCACCGCAGCGTCCATGAGCGCGCAACGCACTATGGGTGTGATTTAGCGACGTGTCCGCCTCGCAGTGTTCAGTATTTTATTTCATACTTCTTCTCTAACGAACATCTTTGATGCATCGTTTGGGGCAGGCTGTGTTGCGTTAACTCCGAAAGAGCTGTTAATGGAACTTCAAGGCGTGGTGCACAAAACCCTTTAAAAGCCGTACGGTTTTAGCTTTCTAGAAGCATTCCTAATGACGCTGATTATAATAGTGTGTTGACCGACTATGTACTGTACATCAGATCATGAATCGATTTGATGTAGCTATGGCGTCAAACGTAGCTGGAGGGTGTGTGTGCTGAGGCAACTCGTAACAGCACACGTGCCCAAAATGTTGCAATCCAAATAATCTAATAAAAGTACTCTCCGTATTTGCATCCTAGTTTCACTTGGTCAGCATGCTCTGTAAAATGTCTGTTACCACTGTCTGCTCAGAGTTAGCTTCATAATGATTTTGCACCCTCGAGATACACTGGGAACCATAACCGAAGCTTTTCACTCCTCATTTCAATTACCTATGTTCGGCTACCTTTTAAAATACACTCGCTAATGAATAACCAAGAGCACAAAGGAATAGGAATCGGAACGACACGGAGGTTGCACATCCTATGTTTCTACCAAAGCCCACAAACGCTATTCTGTTTAGTGACCATAGCAACCTCGCAAGCAGGGAAAATTACCACAACCTGAACTAACTGGTGCCTACAAATTCGCAGACTTGTGTGAACCCAAAAATAGTACATATGTTATGTGGCCACGGTGTTTCAAACATATCCTGCTTCAGTCAATCAATCATACTATACTGGTTCATTGGCAGACCGTGTCTGAGGAATTGTTGACCCTGAGCGGCAATTGGGGCATGAACCGATCGGCAGATTGAAACGAAGGTCAGGTAATTTCCCTCCATATTTAGCAATTCAGGTACTCTTCTCTCGAAAGGGTACAAGCATGAAACCGGGGACTGGTTAGGCAGTCCACTTGAAGCTTCTCTCCAAATCGGTGTTTTCGAAAGTTTTACTAACTACTGAATCGGAGCAGACAAACTGCACGTAACGGAGAGGAAATTTGAGATTCGTAACCGCTATTCGGTAGGCACCGGTTGGCATAGCCTGTACCTCCAACAGCCTCCAGTTAATCAAAGTACGACTTAGGCAGTAGTTATCTACTGAGCATCGGTGAATAGCTAACCACACATCAACAACGATAACTGTCGACGTGTACTTTTTGGCGCTATAGACGAAACAAAGCCAAAATAAGGTGAAAAAGTGCCAGGTCGTATTTTGTGCAGCAGCTGGAAGAGCATGTCGTAGATTTCAGGCCGGCGTAACCCGATTATCTAAAAAAGGGACCTTGCTTTGGCGATTCACAAATGTCGAATCTGTGGGTTTCATATAGGCCATAACTGGGTTCGGTGAACTCCTAGACGCTGCATAAATAGCCGTTGAATACAGGTTGATAGTAAGAATAAGCCCGATGTAGCGTCCGCTGACACCCTGGTGGATAAAAAACGATCATAAATGATGCAACTTCTTGTGATTCTAAGTCACATCGAGAATGTAACAAGTGGGACGAACAAACCGTCGCAGTCAAGTGCGTAACATGGCTGAATATACTTGGATATGGCAACAGCACGTATTTCACCAGATAACTTTCAAGCATACGCAAATGAATGCCGCGACATTGCTCTGAATGCAGCCCAAATGCTGAGAGAACTCAGGACAATCAACCATAATCGAGTTTTCAAGTATTAGTTTCCCAACTTGTCATTTCACCTGGACTGGGGACGCAAAAACTGCCCATAACCTGGTGATGTCCAACTCGAAGCAAGTTGAGAATCAGTCCTAATAATTACTAACGGATTCAAAATGTCACGTAACTTACCACCGGTAGTAACGGCCTGCCGGATGAGATTGAGGCCGGAAGTAAATGAAATACTGGGCGGAACAATACTGTTGCACAGTTGTAGACGTACATTGGACTTATTGTTTACGTAAACGTATGGTATATTCAGCCAAGCAAAGACTTGACGCAGCGCAGTCTTATCCTGCATATCACGTCACCTGATAGTAATGACACCGGCCTGATCCCACCTGAGTTACCCTTTGCACAACCTCATGACGTATTTTTGAGTGACATCGTCAACAAGCTGACAAGCAATCGCAATAGGAACATGCTTATTACTTCTTAGAATCCATACTGGTAGATCTGGTGGGACGTGTGATTAGGATGTTCTTAGACATTGTGTGGCACTACAGTCTTGAATGGTTCTGCTGTCCAGTTCACTCTTCGGTGCTACTGTGTACAAACGCCTTTTGTAAGGAGTACGAAGTAGTCGCTAGGCGCTTAGGTAGCTCCAGAGGACCGATAAATGATTTTATTCAGTCACTCTTACCGTCACCTTTCTTTGGCATATTGTAAGCGTTCACAGAACGTCTGGTTCATGGTTGTAATCTGTATCTCCAACAACCCAATCGTTCAGTCACATTCCTTAAGCATTCAGTCTTTTCCTTCATGTGAGTTTCTGTGGCAGTTTCCGAAAAGCCTTGGCTTAAAATCTTACTTATTCGAATAGCACCTACAAAACTTTGTCGAATCTGTACCGCGAAGTAGTGAAATCAGATTAAGCGAAAAACTTCGAATCCGTAAGTTTACTGTTCAGCCCGGAATTTGCAAGACCACAACAGAACTTGTGGAGATATCACACAACCTGGAGTAGAAGCGTTTGCCAGCGAACATCAAGTGCTGGAGGCTACCCATGAAGTTCACTGCGGAGTTACAGTAAATGAAAGCTCCGCTAAGTGATTGGAACGGAAATGAGTGAGGCTCTGCCGAGTGCTTGGTAAACAAGAGTGGCAGGAAGAATTTTTTAGTTGGACTAGAAACAAAAGCGCAAAATCGACCACTAGTCGAGAATCCTCTGTCCAGGCACGAAGATGGTCTTGAGAACGGGACCGGAGAACAATGAATTCCGTGGACTAGGATACAGGTAATAAGGGAACTGAATGCTGTAAGGCATAAAAACTTAGACTACCTAACCGGCTGAAGAGAGACTGAACGTAATGAGGCGAAATATGGTTGTTTATAGGGTGATCGCCAGGACTTCAGCAGCAGCATTCTGAAGAAAAACAGTACCTGTGAGGCCAGTAAGGACATTTTTGTAACGTTGAGACTTTTCGAGGCACATGCGAAGAGAATATGCCCACTGACCGGCCCATGATTTCTAACCACCTGTGAATCAGTGTACCGGGGACGAACCATTGATCTTCAAGAGTTGTAGCACACCTGTCCGTTTGAAGGTCGACCGTAAACAGTTGCTACCACGTGTTTCGTTAATGCTACCACTATTCTCAGTTGTGAATCCGGTTCTTGATAGTTCCAGCTTGAACGGCGAAATTATATACGTACTTAAAATGTAACAGACTATCGTGAATGCATTGCTTCGCTTTGTCACTAATTGCTTTGGTACAGCGGAGCAGCACAAAAAGCCGGTGCTTGAAAATATGTTATCAACATCGATTCTTAGTCTCCAATTCACTGACTAGTCAGTTTCGGTACTTTTCAAGACAAAAAGGAATCCATAACAGATGGTGCTACTTATCAATAACAGCCAGCAGCAAAACAGCGTAAAACTCATTGCAAAATAAGTTTTGTTCATTCCTTTGGTAGGAACCCCGCGCATCCAAGACATTGCGCACGGTGACTCATCTCCTGTCCGCTGATTGCGTGATTATATCCCTTGTCGTTGTCAGCTTATCTCACGGCTTTTCTCCAAAAACAATCGGTTTAAGTAAGCAGACAATGAGTGCTGGAATATATCGTCTAAATTGTTCTTGTTTACTCTCTTTGCCTGACTGATGGGTTATGCCAACAGACCTGTTGGGAAGTGGCGCGGTTACCAGTTCTGATGCGCGCTCATCTTCACCAAAACCACTAGGGCATTTGAATGACTGGTCGGGCACCAATCTCTTCTCAGAGAACTTTGGGTTTGACATCAAGCCTTGGTCCACTGTCCTCAATAGTTGCCATCACTCCGATTTTCTATGTGTTTGCGCGCTGTGGACTGACACCCATATTAAAACGAATATTAACCGAATTTTATTTGCACATATACTTGCTACACGAAAAATCCTACGATCCTATTCAATCGGCCTCATCTGTTCGACTTGAAAGCTTTTCTTGGCCTGACCTGATTTCTAGTGGTATACTTCCTTGACATTGCTTGAAAGAGACGATGCCATCTGAACGATCTGAACATTACGTAACCAGTAGAGAATCAACAACTCTTTTGAAAGAGTTGTTTAACATGCTTTTTGCAGGCAACCACTGAAATACTGTTGTATATGAACGCAACATCGTACTCACTGTGCAGCCGAGGGTGACTTCTCAGCATGGCAACTCAGCGGTGCCAAAAAACTGCATGTAAAGCATGAGAAGACAGCAAAATGCGTGAAGAAGGGTGATGAATAAGTGCAAACTCACTGCAATCAGAAATTTATCGTCACAGTACTACATAAGCACTACCATATATGTGTCGGGTCAACAAATCACGCTAAGTCTCAATACAGGTGGAAGATAATGTGGATAGGGATCTTTTCTCAACAGTAGGACTGACAACAGACAAAACGGGACGAAGTGCGTTTTGAGCATCCGGAAGGAAAATTCTGAGTAGGCACTATCATGTTTGCTGATCAGAAAATTAACAGGGACATGACGGAAATTCCACTGCATCAGTGAACTTCCAAGAAATCAGCAGTCTTTCTTAAAAACGCCCAGTGAACACAACGGGAGAGCAGTACAGCCAGCGTGGACGAGAGTACGCACGGTAATGAATATGAGAACAAGGTCTTTGGGTCATAGGTAACATCCTTGGCTCCTGTGAGTAAAAGACCAATCATCAGGTTTCGGCAAACACTTCAATACTGATGAAGCAGCTGAAGCTCCTAGAGAGGATCGCTCGCATGTGCACCACGACGCTGTTTTTTTCAGTATCAGTGAGGGGTTGGATGTATCCCTGTATGTTCTGCTATCATCCACCTGAAATCGTCCGAAATAACATATCGTTGCTTTTGAGGGCACTGGGGGAGGTACTAAGTTTCAGAGATCACTTCACGGGTTCCTTCAAGCTTTCTGGTGTAAGCTTAGATGTCCTTCTCGACTACAGCCGGTGGAATCTATCACAACATTGTCGGGACAATTACATGGGAAGAGGGGATCTGAAATAGGTGTGGTGCGCAAAAAGGGAAAAGATGGCATACAGCAGATAGCCCTGAGGCACAACAGTGTTATCTGGTAGGGGATCAGATTTGCAACCACCTTGGTACGCACTCGGTGTCACCACGGGGAAGCCGTTGCGGGTTAACCTGTGCCGACCATCACCCGCAACAATGCACCTCCATCAATGCTAGGAAATGCGCTTGTATAGTTTTGGAGACGGATCGCACTGCCTTGTCATTTCTTTCGAGTGAAAAGGTGAAAAATATGAACGAGGTGTTCGATCAGAAATGCGTGACCACCAATAGGCAAACTGATGAGTCTTCGGAAAGCAGTGTGGACTGGATTCTGCTTAAGAGTACTCTCTAATAATGTAAAAAAGAGCGGAGGTGCAAACTGCTGATCGAAACTCAGTGATTCCTCACTGTGGTATTCGTTTTATCGAATCCATTCCCTCCTTATTGGCAGTTGTCCCAGTAGAGAAACTGGTTGAACACCGTGGTCCCCAGTTTGAAGACTTAAACACAGGCAAAAGATGGACGTGGCGGATTTTGAAAGCCAAGATTTTCGAGAGATGATAAAAAATGGCACTAGCTGTACTGTAAATATCCAACATCTCCGTAAATCAAGTAAAGTGTTTCTTGTTTAACAAAATTTTAAAAAACTGATGCGCTTCACTCAGTATCGACTTGTACAACATTACCTCACCTCGAAATCACACTATTTGTGAGCCTAAACCTCCGTTTAAGTTATTCGGAGATCACTTGCTTGATTTATCAAGCAAAGTTAAGGATAGATTAGAAGTTCACTCATTCCAGTGCTTCTAGTTGGTGTGTAGAGCGAGGTTGCTAAAGCGAATGCTGGCTGTACTATGGAAAGTAATTCAACTTGGTCTAGCCTGACTTCTGGGATTCCGGTCTTGTTGTTCGACTTAATTACCCACTGAGCTTCGGTCCTCTACAAAAGTTCCAGCATGTATTGATTTATCAGCACAATTTTATCTGTGCAATGAACACAGTGATCCGCTGATGGAGCCTGCTCACAGTCACTATGAGATGAAGTAAGAACGAACATCTACGTCAACCTCGTTTCAGCTCAAATAGTCAGAAGATAAAAGCTATACTTAGTAAAATAGCGCCGGCTAGCTCTTGCTAAACGAGCCCTTCTCAATGTCCCCCAGAAGAGCGCGAAACAGGTGTTCCGTATCAGCTTACAATGACAGCCAACCCCAACTCCATTTTTCCTTGAAGAATGATGTTGAGCCAAAGAAAGTCCCGTTACAGGTTATGCGAGCGATTCCACTCCGTGCAGTCAATACTCAGAACTTGTGCCCTATGTTCATGGTAGCATCGAAAAGCAGCAAACGAATAGTTGGGCCACGGAAAACCAGGTCAAATCAGGAACATTACGCATCTGCAGTGGATTTTAAGCTTGAAAACCCTGGCAACCAATTCATAGTAGTCAATCGGACAGGCGACGTCTGAGTGACGTAGCCCACCCCACAGCGCACAGAAGATATCTCCCCGAATGGTAACGAGACGTTCGCAAATTAATTGCCGATCCCGGAAAACAGATCAACACCTGATCAACAATACTCAGAACTTGTGCCCTATGTTCATGGTAGCATCGAAAAGCAGCAAACGAATAGTTGGGCCACGGAAAACCAGGTCAAATCAGGAACATTACGCATCTGCAGTGGATTTTAAGCTTGAAAACCCTGGCAACCAATTCATAGTAGTCAATCGGACAGGCGACGTCTGAGTGACGTAGCCCACCCCACAGCGCACAGAAGATATCTCCCCGAATGGTAACGAGACGTTCGCAAATTAATTGCCGATCCCGGAAAACAGATCAACAGCCACCTGATCAATTACCAAATGACGTATCTGCTAGTACCTGATTACCAAGTGACTTGCGTTGGACAGTTGTGAAGTGCCCTCCGTTTTGTACACACATTCACTTTATACGAGAATAACAGTGAAGTCTTGTTCGGAACTTGGGCCTGAAGTTAATTGAATACGTGTCCCTTACCAATGAATGACGCATGAAAGGATAATTCGCCATTAAAGCGAAACAAGCTTTTCAATGTGAACGCCGTCCTACGCATTCCTCCGCGAAAGCATTCGGACGGCTGCTAAGTTAAGCCAACGAACGCCTTCACTAAACACTGACTGGTCGCAGATACTTCGGTGGACGAGTGCTCGAGAAAGATAACGCGGCAAAAAAAGATCGTGTGAAAGCATACGAATGGTAGTCAAACACTATCGAACCAATCCGGCACTGGAGCCAGGGAAGTTAACTAGGTAACTGAGCTTAGCATGTGGTTATCCAGTGGATCGATCAACTGAATTTGCACGCTAGGCAACGCAGAAGGGTGAACTTCGTTTTAAACTGTACCTATTAGGTGTCCCGGTACGATATGACCTCAATCATGAAAGCTCAGTTATGCAAGGCAAGGAGGAAATGCGAAGTGACCTGGGTTCCAAAGATAGATCGAAACACAAGATGCACATGCTCTAGTATGCCTCAAGTCCGGCAACGTAAAAGTACTAGTTGCATAAGCACGTTCGCAATAAAAAACCAGGCAACGATTGTGGTTGCAAACGATCTTCAGGGAGACAGTCAACTGAAGTGGATTACCACATCTTCAACCCCTCGGAGAAACGTGCATTCCAATTGTATAGGCAAACCAGTGGTACGCCGAAAACGTACATTTTTGGCGAGGAGTGCAGACCAGATGGCAGTGGTAGGCGATATACGGCCTAAATAAGTCTGTTTTCTTTTTGTCCTTGCTTTGGCGACACTACAATTTCCCTGACCAAGATCCAGTTAAATAACAACGATACGATCACGTGATTTTGTTTTGACTAATTAAAAGCACAGAAAATGAAATACATAAACATCGGTCACGATTATCGCAAAGACTATGGTCGAGGCGGAGCAAGGCTGGAAAAAATGCCGAGCCCGAACCGTATTCAATCTCGGTGAGACGATCACACAATGGTTCACCAGAAGCCAGTCTTTCTGAACGCTCTAGTAGGTACAAATAATGCGAGTGGGAAAAACGGGAACCAGCGCTTTCGGTCACGTGGGGAAGAGGAAAGGCTTGGGTGCGAAAAGGTCACGTACGCACAACCCCAAATAGACGACGAACAAGACAACGATACACAGATAAAACCTGAATAGAGCTGTATCCAACACATCGGAGTTTGGCTCTAACTTGGAAATAAGGAGAATCGAACATCACGCGGAAGGTGAGGATGGGAAGTACACGCCTTGAGCTGAGACCGATATACAAAAACAGATTCACCGAGAAACACGGAAAACGCAAGAACCATGGGAAGGTGGTGGGGGGCAGCGAGGTTGCATGAGATGCATCTTTTTGTCAGGGAAATCTAAAACGGAGTGGAAAGCTGTGAGTAGGCTATACATAAATGTCTTGCGCATGCAGTCATGGACTGTTGTCCGACAATCACAGCGAAACGAAGACTACTCGCGAATAACGCGATGCAGCTCATTCGGAGAAATGCAAATGGAGATATTAGTACTAGTACTATTACTACTGTTACTGTTGTTGTCCACATTGCTACTGGTATTCAAACCATGTCCCTGACGATTGCATGCGCTTGATCTTTGACCGAACAGCCGTGGCCGTACGAGTCTCTTTTAGACGAGAGGTAGCTATACGCGACCGAACCTCACCAACGGATGGTAGAACACCACAGCTGCCCATTGGTTCCGGACGGCCAGGAAAGTATTCGTGGAACAAATGACTGATCAACCGAATTTCCCATTCGGCGAAAAATCGATTACCTCCGGTGGTGTCACCGTCCACGTTTCTATTTGTTCCAGGTTTTCGGTCAGGTCCACAGCGACCTGGCTCTAATTCACCACCGCTCAGCAAACCATGGTTTGCCTGCTGAGCTGAAATTGTTAAATGTTGATTTGCAGCCGCCTGGTGAAGTGCCGCTGTACGTTGGTTGTGATAAGGAAGATGCTGGTTGGAGTGATACGGATTGAGGGCGACGGATGGATGCTGGTGACGGTAATCTGAGTTCGTGGTAAAGTACCGGATCATAATCTGCTCCTCTTCAGGAGTGAACGGTAGTCGAGACAAATAAGTCCTGCTCGGAGGAGGAGTGGGTTCCCGATCTTCATCTATGTGTCGGTATCCAGGGAGGTTGCTGTAGCCCCAATGGGTTTGCAGCATACTTGAATTCGTATCAGACCCAGGCCAAGGGAGATGATTGACCCATCGCTGAACGTGCATCATGCGTTCCTAAGAGAAAACGCGAGAAAGAGTCGGTCAGGATCGAGCCTATGTGAAGATGGACAGGCTGCTACACTTCCTAAAGAGGATAACACATGATCCAAACGTCACCTTGATAGTAGCGTCACCCACATTATAAATGATCTATCAAACAGCTACAATAATTAGCAATGTTGTGGAATGTAGGTAGTTCGGGTGCGCTGTTTGGTTGTTGGTCTGTTCGCCGAGCTTGGCAGTTGGGTTGCAAACGTTTCATCACCAATCG